CTTCCGGATGCTAGTAGACGGTGCTCCGTCGGTGATGGTTACTTCCCGGCATCCTGTATGCGTTGCCCATGTGGCTTCATGTGCCAGACACGGCATCTTTCATTTCTGTTTCTTGAAAGAGTTTCTCTGCTTCCTTCCCTTTGATAACTGGTGCTTGTGAGACGCCTCGTACTCTTATTTCTTAAAAAAAACCAAGGATCCTTGGAGCTGATGTGTTCCTGAAAACAGTGTCCATGAGCCCAAGGATGAAATAATTGGCACTTAGGGAACTGATTAAAATTCCAGTGCAGGAGTTTAAAGCATGCTTATTCCTGTTATTTGAAATTCTGAGGCCTCGAGATAATTACCTGTCACTTCTCCCCAGGTTTTTGCTGTGACTGCATGGCCTGTCCCGCCTGCTGCCTCTGTCCCCGGTGCTGAGCAGCGGGTCTGCGCGCACCCAGCGCCGAGGGGGGTGAACCCGGGGTGGGGGGACTGGGCGCAGCTGGGCTCCCACGGTGTGCGTGTCAGGTTCAGCGCCGATGGATGTGAAAGCAGCTCCCAGGAGCAGCGCAGGGCCTCCCCCGTGACAAAGCCACCGGGCTGAGCCTCCTGAGGTCTTCTGACCATTTGGAGGCAAATTATGAACTTACTGGCTCAGGACAGACTGACTAGTGTTATCCCCACAATAAGTAAAATAAAGATCGGGGCTTTCCAGATGTTGGCGGGATTAGCTGTGTTAGGGAAGCATTAATTTGGCAGTTAGCTATTCATTTAAAGATTGCATCCCACCCCACCCCTGAACAGAAGAAGGGGTGGAGTTTAGATGAAACCCACAGTGTTTTGAACCTCGGACCCTAGCTCTTAACTCCCAAGTGTCCCAAAGCCTCAGATAACTGAAGTTCCCTCAAAGCTGTGCAGGCTTTGCCCAAGGAAGCCAGTGCTCAGGGAAGCAACGTTGCCAACCAGGCCTCTTGAAAACAAAGATTCTAAATATTCGCTACCTTACATTTGTCCCTGTGGGAGTTTCCCAGACTCTCCCTAAAGAGAGCAAACCCATCCTCCCAGAAATGTCGGAAAAGTGAATAAGTTAAGAAAAAATAAATTCCAAGGTTTTATGTCCACCCCAGAAAGTAGCTCCACACACTCTGCAGAGATGACCACCCTGGTTTCTTAAGGGTTGTCCGTCTTCTGCCTGGCTGGTGTGGCTCCGTGGATTCAGCATGATCCGTGCACCAAGAGGTCACTGGTTCGAGTCCTGGTCAGGGCACGTGCCAGGGTTGTGGGCTCAATCCCCAGTAAGGGGCCTGCAGGAGGCAGCCGATCGATGTCTCTCTCTCTCGCTCCCTCTCCCTCCCCCCTCTCTAAAATCAATAAAAACATTAAAAAAAAGAAAAAAAGGATGGCCCATCGACTGAAAAAGAGAAAGTATTTGGTAGGAGAGGTGAGGTCAGTGGCTTCCTGTTGCCCGAGCCGCCTCAGTAACCAGGGCGCTGTCCAGGGTTCTGGCCGAACGGCTGCCCCTCAATAATAACGGTAATAATAGTGGTGCCGTGATTCTCTAACCCGGAACGGAGAAAGGACCCTGCCGTTGTATCAGGCAGCAGCCTCCGGGGGCCTCCTGTGCNTTCTCTAACCCAGAACGGAGAAAGGACCCTGCCGTTGTATCAGGCAGCGGCCTCCGGGGGCCTCCTATGGTGAGTGTGGCTGGATGTCGGCTCGTTTACATCGATGTGCGGATTCCTATTGGGGATCAGCGAGGATTTGTTCTTTGGGGCTCATTTAGGTGCTGGCTAAATGCGGACGCCTCTGTTTAGGCCCGAACGACGCGGGTGCTTGTCCTGGTCCGTGAGTAACAGGCCACCAGGACCCTTCCCTGAGCAGCGGCATCTTACAGGCCTCGGGGGTTCCAACGTGAGGCTCCCTCGGTTGAGCGGCGCCCGACAGGCGCTTTCTCGCCGTCCCGCGCATCTGCTTCGCCGGTAGCTTATGAACTGCGCGTTTCTACTCCACGGTCGCTGCAGCCAGCAGCTGGCGGCGCCTCCTGCCTCCACGATGCACCTGGGAGGGGTGGTCCCTTGCGAGCTCACGGAGGGGCTGCTCTTCACCCAGAGCCCTGGGCGGCACCCCGGCTCTGAGGATGCTCGGTAACAGCACCCAGGGCGCTTGGTTTTGCCACCACGAAGAAGCTGCGACTCGGAAGGGCACCCGCGTGGGGCCCCAGCTCTTCCTAATCTACGAAACGGCGTTCCTGATACTAACCACGGGAAATCCTCAAAGCAGTATGGGAGTGTCGTTTTCGTTGTTACCTTCAGCGTTAGGAGGTGAGATCGGGGTGGGGGTGGTCTCAGACGAATGGCTGCCCCCGATCAGGGAACCGTTTAAATAGAGGGAAACCCCACAGTGGGCGGCTGTGGGTGGGCCAGGTCTTCGTGCACCTGCACCCCTGGGAGTCGTGCCCCCCCGGGGCTGTGGGACTGAGTCCTGGCTGCTGCGGGAAGGGTTCAGACTTGAGCTCCCGACGCCCCTGGGCTCCGGGGGACCGTGCGGAGCGTGGGTTCCAGGTTCGAGAACGCGCGCCTGTCTTTGGCGGTGATGGAGAGTGAAGGGGAGACGTTTAAAAGGCCTCCTTGAAGGAAGACCCGGTTTATCACAGGAGACTCAGGCGAAATGAATTGTTATTTGGGGCAGACACCTGAAATTGCTCTTCCTCGCCAAAATAAATGGATTTCTTCGGCTGCCTGAACTTCATTTCTTGAACGGGGCAGGAACTCACGGTGTCTAAATTAAACTCATTTTCCATTCATAGAACTGGGTCGCTGTGGGCTGCCTGAGTGTGTCCGAGTGTCTTAAAGCGCGAACAACAAAAACAAAACAGCCCGGCCGGCGTGGCTCAGCGGCTGAGCGTCGACCCAGGATCCAGGCGCTCGGGGTTCGATTCCCGATCGGGGCACAGGCCCGGGTTGTGGGCTCGATCCCCAGCAGGGGGCGCGCAGGAGGCAGCCGATCGAGGACTCTCATCACTGATGCTTCTCTCTCTCCCTCTCCCTTCCTCTCTCTGAAATCAATACAGATCCATTAAAAAAACAAAACAAAACAAAAAAACCCCCAAGCCCCCAGTGTTTCTTGCCCTTTTCACAGGGCGTCTGATTTAGCCGGTGGACCGTGTGACATCTGCCCCCGCCTCGCCCTGGGCATCGGGCTCTCGATCGGGGTCTGGTCCTGATCTTGTCAGGCAGCCGGGACTGGGGGGCATCGCGACACACCTGCCCGAAAGGCCTAGGGGGGCGGCCCTGGG